ATAAAGGACATATTATGAGATCTGAAGGGAAGAGACAGACATTGACACCCCATTCTCAGCACAGGAGAGATCATCTGGACAGGAAATCAGTGATGCAATCTGAACTGGGCTAGCTCATAGCATGGTGGTTAGGGTGGCTGGATTCTATGTGGCCAACCATATGGTTAGCGCCTCAGACCCAGTGGCCCGAGAACCATGCTAGCGTGTGTGTATGCATGCCATGCCCAAAATCCCAAAGGAGGGAGAGACAGAGAAAGAATTGCACAGTGACCATTCCCCATGGGGGGTGCCTTCTTATTTTTCCTCTCTGTCTCCTGCAAGTGCATTGTACTCTCTGGATAAATAAATAGAGAATTAAGAATCTGAGTTAAATTGTGCTGTAAACCAAATGGGCTTAATTGACATTTATAAACGTTTCATCCAGCAGATGCAGAATGTGCGCTCCTCAGCACCCTGGACCATTCTCCAGGATACGCCTCAACAAAAATGTTTAAATCAGTATCAAGTGCCTTTTCTGACCACAATGGATCAAACAGAAATGAACAGGAAGAGGGACTTCGGGAACAAAAGATCCATGGGATCAAACATGGTGCTCTTGGGCCACTGGGCCAGTGAAGGGATTAGGTAGGAGATCTAAATAGTTCTCAGAATGAATGAGAATGAGAGCACAACACGGGGAAACCTATGAGGTACAGCAAACACTGCACTAAGAAGGAAGTTTACAGCAATGAGCACCTTCATCTAAGACGCAGAGGCTTCAAATAACCTGACAATGCATGTCAAGGAGCTAGCAAAGGAAGCACGCACCACACTTGGAAGGAAAGGAAGGGTTAAGGGTGACAGGAGAAGTAAATGAAACAAAGAAATACAAAAGATCTATGTGTTGGGGGTTTTTTTCTCCTTTTAAAATTTTGCCAAGTGGTGTGCCTGCATGGTAGGTGTGTGAAAATCGAAAGCACCCCCGTGGGGGCACGGTCGCCACTGCAGTCTTTTCTCCATTTCTCCCTCTGGGCATGTTTTTCAAGCCACAGGGTCGGCTGTGTGGGATCCAGCTCCCTTAACCACTAGGCCAGGGGCTGACCCAAAAAGATCTATTGAAACAAAAAGCTGATTTTTTGTTAAATAAATAAAAAAAAAAAAAAACAGAATTAGCAGAAACCGAAAGACTGGAAGGTATCATAGGGAAGTCAACTGTAGATACTAGAGATAGTACAGAATGTGGGGCAATGGGGCTGGGTAAGAGGAGGGAGGGAGGAAGACAGGACAAAAATATTTAATTGATATAAACATTTAAAAAATAGATTAAGAAATAGATAAATTTCTGTGAAACAAAACGTTTGCTCCTCTTACCACACAAATGGAAAAGCATATGCTAAATCTGTATGTAGCTGTAGTTATCTTTGTATCTCATAATGTAACATTTTGTAAACCTCAAATATACCCAATAAAAGATATTTTTTAAAGTTAAAAAAAAAAAAAAAAGAACATACATCAGTCAAGGCTAAAGAATAAAATGCTAGGGACCAGCAAATGGCATAATGGTTACGTCACTGGACTCCCACGTGGTTCGAGTCCCAGACCCAGAGGCTTGAAACTCATGCTGGACATGTGTGCATGCATGCCCAAAATCCCAAGAGGACAATGGAGGAGGAGGGATTGTGAGATAGTCATCCCCTCTGGGGCTTGATTTGTAACTTTCTGTCTCTCTGTCTCTCTGTCTCTGGTGAGCACATGTGCCCCAGAACAAAAAATCGCTCTTAAAAAAAATATAATAAAATGCTAAATACCAAAGTTAGCATCAGCGTTTACTGCGGACATAGCCTAGGAGGAAAAACACAGAGGTAGCAGACCAAATTGTTTATACTAAAAACGAGCAGCAACAACACGCTGAAAGTACTATGCCTGTGGGCTTCCAGCTAACATGGAAATTCTCCCATCACTCTGAACTTCGATTCAGACAGACTCCACCTTAGGTACCCCTGATGCCTCTGGAGAGAGCAGTGTTGTAGCGATAAGTGATCTCTACTTGCCACTCGAGAAACTGACCATGGCAGAAGTAAGCTGTGTGGCCGGGCATCCAAAGTTCTGCCCGCGAGAGGAACCCCGCACCAGCTGAGACTGAGGAGGGGCCCCTCCAGGCTCCACTCACCGACCCCGCCTTCCTGTAGGCTAACCCACACAGAGTTAAATGGCTAGGCTAGAACACCACTAATCGAGAACGAGGTTTACTCTAAAAGGAAGAAAAATCAAAAGCAGATTTAGAACTGGCAGAGATTTAGAACAAGACAGAGGGAACTGGGGCTGCCAAGTAGGTGGGAATGAGAGGAAAAGGCATCAGCGATTCTGAGCAAAATGCTGTTATTAAGTGTAACCGCCTTGACTTAATCCAAATACAACATTCCTTATTCATGGAAAAAAACTTACTAAAATAACATCGATTTCCTTTAGAAATAAACACATGTAGCCAGGGAAGCTTCTACCGACAAAGCTTAACCCCAAAGGTAATAAAAAAACAGGAGGGAAACTATTTCAGCACTTATAATTTCAAATAAGAATTTCTAAAGACAACTGTTATAGTTAAGTTAGTAACAGTTACTTTTTAGAACTACAATACATTTTTTCGAGCAGTCTCACCCTGTCCTTTTATGTTAAAGTATAGTAAAATCCATTCAAGAGTTGAAGTTATTCTTAATATATACGGACTAACACCTACCATTTTAAGAAAAATCTCCCACTGAATAATTAGAATTCATTCTTACTTATAATTGTGAAACATACTAATGTCAATTTAATTGTTTAAAACTGTGGTCTTGAATAGGAACAGGAAGCCTTACAAATACCTAAAATGAGACGCGACATGCTACTTTGGAACACAAGCATCATGGTGCACACTGTACGGAAACATGGCTGTGTACTCATGATAATCCTGGTCATCACTGGGCCCTTAACTTGTAAGCTGCACCTGAACCAGAAACTACAAGCCCACAGCACCTGCTGAGGGACCCAGCTGTGCCGCTGCTGAGTAGGGCGGGCCCTGGAGGTACAGCCTTATGCGTACATGCATGTGTGCGATGAGTGTTCAGTTGCATGTTCTCAGTGACGTCTTTCTACCCTTCGCTCTCTCATGTCCGAAGGACACACAAAAACCACAGTGCCTTTAAGGATATAGAGCCCAGCTCCTGCGGAGCATGAAGACTGTCAGCCAAGAGGAGCCCACTGCTCGAGTGTGGCTCTGCCTCCTTGCACCAAGCCGTCAGCTGGGGCCAGAGAACGGCTCTTGGACAGAAGTGTGCACTGCTGCAGAATCACTCTCCCAGACTAGAAGACCTTGAAACTGCCCTGCTGGCCAGATGTTTTCCTGTTCTAAATCCTTTTAGGTAAATCTGATGCAAAATGTCTGGTAGCCTAAGTGCTCAGCTGAACGTAAAAGGGCCATCTGGTGGACCCTGCAAAAGCCAGTGTCAACATGTGAGACTATTCTTTAGACGTGGAGTGACTGCAATTGTTGTAAGGTGCACAGCAGATACAACTGCATGCTGGTCTTTCCCATAAAACACTAGGTAACTTCTTTTAAAAGTATTCAAGGTTTTCAAAACACTATTTCCACTTTTTCAGTATTCGAGCTTTAGGTTAATCATTAATGCAAGTATGGA